ATTATAATTAAAATGAAACAACTCGTGTAAGATGGTGACAACAGATGTAATGAAATACTTGTCAGTAAAACTATTAGTTACACTAGTATTGTACTGAGATATGCATCAATATAACAGAAACAGCATGATCATTATGCGCATAGTTTTCGATTCTTCGGGAGATGGCTGTCTTCCCTACCTCACAACATTGAAATGAAATGTCTATTACGCGAGATAAATCTCATCTACAAAAATGAATAATTCACACGAGTCTCAATTCACAGAATCAATGCAGTCGCTCTGTAACAAAGGGATATTATACATATCCTATTCACAGTAATTAAAGTGCACTACTTCGATAGTAATGAATAATTGAAGTAAATTTTTTTGCGTCTATTTCATAATTACAGAGCGTCGCCGTTAGAAGCATAATGTATAATGCAAACCGTTTTATGTAATGAATAACTATTAAATCATTTTTATTTGTTTATTTTCGAATTCATCGTATAAAACTGATGCTTCATTCATATGCCAATTCAAGATTGACAAGTAACACATACTAAAAAGAACCCCTATATGTACATATAGTATTTTTAGATTAAAATGAAAAAGAAAACAATTCATAAAGTATTACTTTCAATTTCGAAAATTCTTCAATATATTTATAAAACGATAGTTTTTTATTCTGCTCACTGATTGCTTTATTTTATTTCTTAACAATAAGTGTATCTCTAAAAGAATAATTCAATGTGAAAAAAGTCTCAAATTTATATCCATGTCTTTGATTAGTGATTTATTCCTCAAGAGTTTGATATGAACTGATTTAATCAAAAAATTAGATAAACTGTGTATTGAAACCGAAGAGATATGTAAAAGTATCCGTACAGTGAATCTAACGATTCATAACTAATTAGATATTATTTTTTAACTTGCTATATCAATAGTGAATATATTAAGGAACTTAATGAATAGATATATATTTTGTATGATTTTGTCATATATGCTTCTTCTGAAAGTATTTTTGAATTCCACCGTAGCTTTTTATAAACAATTTAGCTAAGCTCACCTGATGGTTCTTTTCTAATGCTTAACTCAATCGTAGACTTGATAAGTTCTTCTAGTGCTATATGATCAAAAATAAATTGATACCTGGTGAAATTTTGGTTTTACTTGAATGAATTTCAGCATTGGGATAGATATAGTAGAACAAGGACATTGAAGTGTATCAGGATACTGCTCCAATAGAGATTCGAACATAGAATAAGAAGTGAGTTTTACATTAATCATCGTCGTCTCGCTTCCCAAACTGGTATAAATAAGCAGAATAAGTATATTTGTAATGAAGAGAACAACGTAAATCCAGGTTGAACATCGTTCAATTTGAATTGATTCTACATCGCTAGATTCATTATCGAAAAGATTGAAACTATAGAACCAACATTTAATACGATTTTGTAACATTGTCATATTAGTTAGTTAGTTTATCAAAACACTTTGTGAATAAACTCTAAAATTTTTTCAACAGGATGGAATGCAGCTGTCACCTAGCAAGCAATATTCTTTTGCGCACATACATTTCGGAAAGTATTATTCCAAATTTAAAAAATGAGCTAGTGACGTACAAAATAACTTTAATTCAAACTGTTGCAAAAAAAATTATATTATTTTTTTTACTATGGTAATGACAAGAGTATTTCATGCCATTAGTATGATAGTATATTATGGTTACACAGTAAAAATGAATCTTTGGACAACAAATTAAAGTGATCATGATGAATATGAAATTGGATTGTTATCTTGTTGGTTTTGTAAAACCTGTTTCATTGCAATAGCAAATTTATCTCGTACAAAGTCACACAGAATTAGATGGGGTCATTTATTACTGAGTATGGAGATATCAGTAATGATGACAGTGCAGGTTACATATAAATGCTGTTTGCCACAACATATGTTCATCATCACTATTTTTTATTATTGTAAAAATAGAGGATATATTTCTACTTTATTGAAGAACCTTCTAAGATTGGTTAAAGTGAGTTTGAATCATTCAAGATTGTTATGTGACAAAATTAGTTGTATGTTGTTGTTTCCCTACAGAACATCTTTTTTTTTGTTCTTATAACGCATGAATAATGCGTTCTCTATTTCTTTCATTTCTTTCTTTGCTTTCTCCTGCTCGTTTTATTGTTCTGCTTGTTCCTACTGTATAGATGTGTTTTTCTTTTAATCATTACTAATGCAGATAGATCTCTCATTGGAAAAAGTCATTTTATTAATGAGTCAATGTAAAGCACACATTCTGTGTAGGAAATAGACGTACGTACGAAGCAAAAATAAATTTCAAAAAATTATGTTGAAAAAACATTTTACATCTTTCGATAGACATTGAAACAGCTAGTGAACTGTGGAAAATTCTTTTATAGTCGTACTCATGTAATTTGTGCACTAAAGACTCAAATAATCAGCGTGCAGATTATTTGTAAGATTCTAAGAAATCAGAAAAGACCAATAATACCTTGATAGTCATCGTTTTGTGGTGTGTTCGTGTAAAGTTATCACGATACGTAAGGTATTTCGATGCTACTGATTTAATTTATCAAATGGTAATAATAAATATGGAGCTGAAATTCAAAGTATCCTACGAAGTTTCGTTCTTACTTAAAGGGCTCATCAAGCATGTTTTTTTATGATTTATAGATTGAAAGAATCAATGTGACGGCTTGAGTTTAATTGTTTTATTTTTATTTTTTGGTTGAAAGATGATATTATAGCTATTGGTTCGGGCTAGTTACAGTTGCTGTCTAATTTTTATTTTTGTTTTTGTATTTAGCTATATAATTTGTTATTTTTATCTGAAATAATAGAAAAGTTTTATCTGATTTCGTGCTGCGTATTTCTAAATAAAACACTTTTGAAACGTATGTGCTTCTATTTTTAATGCTTTGATTAGAATAGTTAGTAACAATAGTTCATTGTACCACTCTTCATCAATAAGATTTTTGCAAAATAGACTTTCGACAGTACGCCCACTGTACTTTTGCCAATTGGTGAATGCCTATCGAATACTCGCCTATGAGGAGTCTATGAACTTGCGCCTATTTTAATTCAACATTGACATCAATCAGAGAGATTAATATCGCATGCATAATAACTATACATATGGATGTGTATGTGAGTAATATTATAAATTGCGTATATGTAACTTTTTTTCTTGTTCTGTATTAAATAGTGAAACAGGAGCGAACTTTGACCAATTCACCTATTGGATACTCGTCAATCGGTGAAAGTGTTTTTAGCAAAGAGCGGAATTTCCGGCTAAGAGGGTAATGAGTGGGTGAGAAAAGCTCGGGAAATGAATATGGGTAGGGTGTGGGTGTGTGGGTGTGAGTGTGGGTGTGGGTGGGTGTGGGTGTGGGTGTGGGTGGGTGTGGGTGGGTGTGGGTGTGGGATGTCGCTGGGTGTGGGTGTGGGTGTAGAGTGTCTGGAATTCATTCATAATAACAACCACACCCACACCCACACCCTTTATGAAGACTTCATAGAAACTAAATTAAAAGATTATTTTTAAATGAATGTTGTGGCAACAGAAAAAATGATTTTCAAATTTCGAATTGATAGTGTGTCTTGCAGATCGCTCACGTCAACTAGATGATTTAATATTCGAATTTCAAGATAGAACCGAATCAAAAGATCTGACACTTTCACAATAAACTACTCTTGTTAAGACCGTCGATATTCGTAAAATCAGTTTTTCTGTTACTATGACATTCTTATATTGAAATTTTCCTTCTCTAGGAAAGACCCTTCCAGAAACCTTAATTATAAGATTTCCATCTAAAGTTTTATCTCTAGACAAGTTTCAGACACAATACAACATCCTAAAGGTTTTAGCTTAACCAATAAACAAAGCAGATTAATAATTGAAATTTTCTTTACAATAAATATTTACTAGTAAAAAGAAGTTACCTCTTGTGTACATTGAATGTTGATTTAAAATAATTAAGTGTTTCTCTTCCAATTTTTTTTGATAAATCTTATGTAGAAATATGACTTAAAACTGATTTCATAGACGATAATGATCATTTCTGATGAATTCAATAAAATTTTATGTATTTCATAAGATGAACGTATTAATTCGAATAATTTCATCATTCATGGATTATTTCCAAAAGTACCTAATTGTGTACGATTAACTTTTTTATTTTTGTCTGTGTTTGATGTTGTTGATGTATCTTTATCATTCCCTTTAAAAAGAAAAAACAAACGAATTCGTTCAGACGAAACATGATCAAATATATTCTTCACATCTAACACTTTGGAACTCCTGTCATCCGTAAAAACTAGAATATCAACTATAGAAAACTATCTTCTGTCCAAAAGAATGATGATTGTGAATATTTTTGCAATAGTTCGAGAACGGTAATAAAATAGTTCAATTTTCGAATTACTTGAATCATTTGTGCTACTTTCAAAACATTTGTTCATTTGTTGAGATTTGATAAATCTTCAAATAAAAAGAAATAATTCAAAAAAAACATAATAAATATCTTTTTTTTTCTCTTTACTTGAAAAGATTAAATTATTAAGATCATGTGTAATATAAAGGGATGTTTAAAAAAAAATTATAAATAAACGAAGTTCATCATATTGATTATGAAAAAATTGGTCGAATTGTTGTTGGTCTTAAAACATTTGAAAGAACGTAAATATCTTCTAAACATCCAACCTATATAAAAGACAAACATAACAAACAATTTGTATTCGAGTTGATGCTTGAGCTTGTAATGAATGATGAATTTTATATATCCATTGACATGGTAAAAATGAATTGTGATCAACAAAACCTTAAAATCAAAAAGTAGCTAATAACTAACTTAATGCAATAAATCGACTTATGCATTTAAATTCGAAAAAAAAACTACCTAGTTAACATCTCTACAAAATACATACTTAGCAAAAGTCGAAGCAGTTGCTTGACGAACACGTATATCAGAATACTGTTGTTTTAATTGTTGTTGTTGTTATTCAAGATAAGTTAATATTCGAAAATCAATGTCATCTATAAGTTGAGCTAGAGCAAACTATTTTATATACATACAAAAAAAAAATTATTATAATCATATTTTTGTTTTATCTACTTTAGCAAGAACATAAGAACTTGTACTATGTTGAATAGAATCTTCTAATAATTCAATTCCTATAATTGTAAATGCATAACTATTAATTAATAAAAAAGCTAATAATGTTTGTAAAGCATTTAGTGAAACATGTATAACACGTGCATTATTATCATTAAAACATATAAGCTTGAACTGTCTTGTGAATCAGTTGATACAAGTGAACATTGATTAATAAAAGAACTATGAAATGAATTTGATAATAATGAGTGTTAAAAGATGAATTGTTGTTTTAATTAATGTAACAAGTAAATTTGCACATGAATCACGTAAATGTAGATCACCATGTTCACATAAAGATAAAAGATATGTAATCTCTTAAAGAAAAGAAAAAAAAAAGATACCTTGATGTTCAATAAATTTTAACGTATTACAAAATCATATAGAGATGAGAATTTCATTTTTCTCATTAGAAAATTCTATTTCAATTACAAAATTATTTCTAATCAGAAATCTTCAAAGACTAATGAAAAATTCCTTGGAGGATACAGTTGATTTCATATCTTGAACTTCGGCTTAGTACTTTTTTGAGATAGTTGTGTCATTGTATAATTTCAATCTCTGATGTATAAATACAGGCTTTGAGCTTCAATAAAGTGTTCTATTTGATATCGTTTCAAGTCTGATAATGTTCTAGGCTTTTGTTAGTTTCAATAAAATTAAAAGTAGGAATAGGACTAGAGCTGCTGAATCAATATCGAGAAATCTCCCTTCTTGAATTTTCAGATTCCAATATATATATGTTTTATATCGTTTTGGTTCTAAAATTTAATAGTGAAATTATCATATCTATCAGATAACTTTCACTAAAACTTTGAGACTTTAACCAATTGAAGCGACGTTAATTAAACTCTGCCACAATCCCCTTCACCCAAGCCCTCCTACTGTTACGACATTAGAAATAATTTTGGATTATAAAATAGATCTATTTTACTGAAGTGAAACTTTACAAAAAAAAAAATCTCAAACAAGAATTAAACATACTTTCAGTAGGATAATCAAATCGACCAAATTGTTGATAAATATGATAGACATATTGGTATAGCATATTTAACACTAATACGTGATTCATCATCACCTTTTATCGTACCATCCATATTTAGTATATATCTAATGGGAAAAAAATATAATTGATTAACAAGTTTAGCAGCTGATGTTCGTTTTTCATTATTAATCATTGATGTTGAATCGAATTCATCATTCATTTCAATAAATCAACGTTGATATGTTGAATAAGCTATTGTTTTAGAAAAACAAAAAAAATGAAAAAAAAAATTCTTGTTTTTTTTTCTCGATATTTACCTGTGTTTAATGCTTGACTAACACGAATTTCTTCTATAGATCCAATTTGGGTTGAAATTAATAATTGACCAAAATCAAATAAATTTGAATATTTAAGTATAATTTCAAGTGTTTCCAATGAACTTGATACAACACTATGATCATTATGTCGTAAACAAGTACAACACACCATATCAACATTAAAGAAAGATTTATATTGAAAATAAAATCATTTATTATTTGTCGAATACTGATTGAAAGATATTGTTGATTTGTATCAATATTTTTACTTCTATTTATTGATTGTTGATTATTGCTTGATTATGATTGAAATTCTTAGATATTTAAACCAAGTAATTGAGGGTGTCAATGGGGATGTGTAGGGATAAGCAATACAAACACTCACACCCACCTCTCAAAATGCCTAAGTCTTCTTAAAGCACATTCGCCATACTTTCTTCGGATGCATCTAACGAACTTTGAGTGGTAGAGTTTTTCATACATCGAACGATAAAATAAAAAATATAAAATTTTTCATTTATTTATTTTGAAGCTTTCAACACTACTTTATAATTATCAATTTCTAAAAAAAAATTTAGGATAGAAAATATTTATATATATTAGAATAAAGTTCAAAGCCTAATGAAGCATCATAACTCAAATTTACGCTTATACAAGTATCAGTGTATATTTTATCATTGCAACAACACGAAACGCAAAGGTAAGGTAAAAAAAGAAGAAGTAGAATATATGAAAAACGAAACGTATTTTATGACGAACACATGGTCGAAAAAGTCGTTTACATGATGAAATAGTCATCCTTCATTGATTCATGTAAACATACGTTTGTGGGAAAAAAACTAAGTAATTTTGTCAATGATAAATAC